GGTTTTTCCAGTGGTCACGTATGGATGTGCGAGTTGGACCATAAAGAAGGCTGAGCACTGAAGAATTGATGCTTTTGAACTGTGGTGCTGGAGAAGACTCTTGAGAGTCCCTTGGACTGTAAGGAGATTAAACCAGTCAATCATAAAGGAAATCAATCATGAACATTCATTGGAAGGACTGCTGCTGAAGCTGAAACTACAATACTTTGGCCACCTGATGGAAGAACTGACTCATTGGAGAAGGCTCTGATGCTGGGAAAGACTGAAGGCAGGAGGAGAAGGGGACGACAGAGGATGAGTAGATTGAATGGCATCACCAACTCAGTGGACATGAGTTCGAGCAAACTCCAGGAGTTGGTGATGGACAGGGAAGCCTGGTGTGCTACAGTCCGTGGGGTCGCCAGGAGTCAGACAGAACTGAGCAACTGAACTGAACTGAACTGAAAGAAAATCAATCCTGAATGTTCATTGGAAGGACTGATGCTGAAGCTCCAATACTTGAGCTCACATGAAGTGAAGAGCTGACTTACTGGAAAAGACCCTGAAGGCAAAAGAAGAGGGTGGCAGAGGATGAGACGGTTAGATAGCATCACTGACTCAATGGACACGAATTTGAGCAAACTCCAGGAGATAGTGGAGGACAGGAGTCTGGCATGCTGCAGTCCATTGGGTCACAAAGAGTCGGATGTGACTTGGTGACTGAACAACAACAACAAGCCCTACTGTTACTGCACTAATTTTATTTTAACCTGGGTCATCGGAAAAGACTTTGCCTAATAACACTTTTGATTCCAACCCTCATGACCCCCCTCCATCTTCCCAATCCACTTTTGACACTCTAGCCAGAATGATTTTTCCAAAGCACAAAACCTGTTGGGATCTTAAAATCTTTCAATGACTGTCCTACATTTAGGAGCCTGAGCTCCTTTTAATAATGCATGAAGCCCTGTAAGATGTTTATCTTCTTGTGTATCACCTCCCTCATCACACCCAAGTTTCCCGATGTATATCCCATTGCTCCGTTCCTCAAAGGTGTGAGCTTCTCTTACTTTCTGGTCTTTGAATGTTTTGCTCTCTTTACCTGTAACCCTTCCTTCACCTCCTTGGCTTGGCTAAATCATCCTTTGGGTCTCACTTTCTTTGAGAAGTCTTCTCTGACTTCCTTTCTCATCCTGGTTTGTCCAGCTGCCCAGGCTCAGTGAGATATTAATCTGTGTTTCTGCAGGCTACCATGTTTCCTCTGTTGTAACACCTATCCAGTCTTCCACCAGATTTTAAACTCCATCTTGGTCACTTCTGTATGCTCTGTGTTCAGCATAAGGCTTGACACAGCACAGGTGCTTATTAGCTTAGCAAACATTTGTTGAATTGTCTCTTAATGTGTCAGAAGCCATGGAGGTCTTAGACCTACTAGTTTGCAGCCTCATCACTTGAGCAGGAAGATTAGTGTGAATGATGACATTCTATAATGGTTCTTTGGTTGGACTCTTATTTCTCCACTGTTTATTTACTACCCTAGCAACCTCATTCATTTAACAACTCTGAAACTTAGTTGTCTCATCTATAAATACAAAGGCTTGAACTTCCTGAAGGCAAATGGTGGGATGATTTTTTTTTCTTTTTTTGGTTACTAGTATTTATATATTAGTCAATTACACTTTCTCTCTTGTGCAATGATTATTCATATTCTTTGGTACATTTATTTCTTACTGATTTGTAAGAATACTTCGTACCTATATACATACTTGCCATATATTTTGTAAATATCTTAAATTCATGAAAAATTACTTATCTATTTGCTGTGTTGGGTTTTAGTTGTGGCACACAGTCTTCGTTGCTGCACATGGGCTTATTCTCCAGTTGCCCGGTGGTATCTGGAAACTTAGTTCCCAGACCAGGGATCAAACCCGAGTCCCCTGCATTGGAAGGTGGGTTCTTAACCACTGGACCACCAGGGAAGTCCTAAACTCAGTTTTTAATTTAAAAATTTTTAACTTTTTATGGCCATATAAAAACTTTTTAATTTTTTTTTCAACCATTAAAAGCTGTAAAATCCATTCTTAGCTTACCTGCTGTACAAAAGTAGGTTGGCTGGCTGGATCTGGCCAGTAGGCATAGTTTGCCAACCCCTGCACTAATATGTTCATTAAATTTGAGCCATCTTTGTGTTCCCAGAATAAATACCATTTGAATGAATCATGAATTTATTGCTGGATTTGATTTGCTATTATTTTATTTAGGATTTCTGTGTATATTTCTGTGTATATTCATAAGTCAGATTGGTCTAGCAGAGATTTCAAGCTAGTTATAGGATATAGATATATTTCATTTGGCTTACATAATATTTTAAAAAGATTTGCATTGTCAATATTAAAAAATTGAGAAATATATTAAAAACTAGAGATTTTGGATTTTTCTTTTAAAAAAGGAATGCGGCAAAACTGGGAGGATGTGGGCCTAATTTTGTCACATTTTTAATAGATCTTCTTTTTCTATGTTTTCTATTTTATTAATTTCTACTCTTGTTTTTATATGTGGCCTTTGGTCTGTAGTTTGCTGCTGCTAACCTCATCTGGTTTTTGTCTTTGCTTAGCCTCATAGAGGGCTGACAAATCTTCCAGCATTTTTTATAGTTCTGAAAAAGTTTTAAACTCCAGAGACATTATCTGTTTCTTGAAAGTCTAATAGAACTGGCCTCTAAAACTGCCTGTTGTTTAGTCATGTCTGACTCTTTTGTGACCACGTGACTGTAGCCTGCTGGGCTTCTCTGTCCATGGAATTTCCCAGGCAAGAATACTGGAGTGGACTGCCATTTCCATCTAAGTCTTCTATAATTTTGTCAGGTAGATTTTTTATTCCCTTTTGTGTCTTATCTATGGTTAGTGATTTATTAAAAATTTCAAACTCTTGTATCAATTTTAACAATTAATACTTTCTAGAAAAGCATCAGTTCCCCCCTAGATTTTCAAATTTACAAATAAGGTTGCAATGGTTTTCTCTCATGATTTAAAGAATTACTTTTGTATCTTGGCTATCTTTCTCTTTCATAAACTTGCTTATTTATAGTTTTCTTTGTTTTGCCAGAATTCTGTTCTTTGAAAAGAACCAGGCCATGGTTTTATTGTTGAAGTCTATTTTCTAAAGATAAGTTTCAACTTTAACCTTATTATTTCCTTTTAAAATGTCATCTGCATTAGCTGTTCCACTTTTAACTTTTTAAAATGTCTTTAAAGAATTTTGAAAATTGTTCTTGTTTTTTAAATCAAATCATGTTTTCCCTGAACTTCCTACTTTATTCCATTGATCTGTCTTCTTTCTATATTATTTTAAGACTATTTAACATCTGGTAGTCTTTGTCCCCTTTATTATTACTTTTCAAAATTGCTTTGATTATCAGGTCAGATGATATCTTAAAGGCATTAGGTTTCTTTGATAGCTAATGTGAAAATGCACCCAAATAAATCTCTCTAGTCCCTTCCATCCAAACATGAGCAGTCCTTATTCTTCTAGAAACAGAGTCAGTCTTAAAAAAATATCCGTAATCAATCTTTGTATGTGGATGTGGTGTATGTGTATAGGACATTAAAGTGGGTTGTGTGTGTGTGTGTCTGTAGCATGTGGCTATGCACCTGTGTATGTCCAGAGGATGGATGTATAGTCTGTGAGATGTGACTATATATATGTAGGAGGTGTGTATGTGATGTGTTGATTTGTGTTTGGGGTGTGTGTATATGTACATGGTACATTTGTATATCTGGTGTATTTTTGAATGTACATCAGCAGTGTTGTGGTGTGCAGGTGTGTGTGTGTAGTTTGTCTATTGTGTGGAGTGTGTGTAAGTATAAGAGGGATACTGAGGCCCATGGCCAGGGGGAGCTAGAGTGTTCAGGGCACGTCACAAAGCTAGGCCTGGTTCTCACACTCCCTCGCCTTTTTGGAGAAAGCAGGGCCATAAATGGCGACCCTTTCTGGACGTCCCCTGTCGACGGCAGTGTGGGTTAAAGGGCCAGTGTCTCTTGCAGTGCCGCTGCCCAGGCTCCGCTCACTTCCGTCCTCCCCCTCCTGAGAAAAGAGCAACCTTCCCCTTTAGGAGAAGGAAGCTTCATGGCTCTAAGGAAAGGGGTCTAATGTTTGGTTGGTGGTGAGGGTGGTGGAGGTGGAACCACTGCAGGAAATGAATTAGTATCAGAGTGGCGCTGGGGTCTCCCCGCTGAACAGGTTAGCTGCTAATGGCGCAGAAGGAGTCAGGAGGGAACCTGCGAGGCAGCGGGACCTTGACCCCAGTGGGGATGAAGGGCCCAGTGTGGGCCTCAGTCTTTTCTGCCCCGAGCCACATATGGATAATGTAAGTCGGCCCAGCCCTCCTGCTGGCTTCCACTTTAGTACCTCTAAGATATCACCTGGCCTGATATCCAAAACAATTTGGAAAAACAATAATAGAGGAGGCTAGGACTTACTGGGGCTTTCCGGGTGGTGCTAGTGGTAAAGAACCCACCTGCCAATGCAGGAGACATGAGATGTGGGTTTGATCCCTGGGTCGGGAAGATCCCCTGGAGGAGGGCATGGCAACCCACTCTAGTATTCTTGCCTGGAGAATCCCCATGGACAGAAGAGCCTGGTGGGCTACAGTCCATAGGGTCTCGTAGAGTTGGACACAACTGAAGCGACTTAGCACGCACGCATGCATGCAGGACTTAACAGATGTTAAATAGTCCTAAAATAATATAGAAAGAAGACAAACAGGTCAATGGACCAGAATAGAATGTGCATCTGCCGGTTGCTCACAGCTTCCTGAGTTCAAGGTGGTCTTCCCTAGTGCAAGTGGTCCCTGGCAGGGGTTTGAAGGGGCTACTGTCACCTGGGCTTGTCACTTTTCCCTTGACGGACTTCCCCCTGCCCAGGCTCTGGACTACCATGCTTTCTAATTCCTACTGGGGTGAAGCCCTCTCTCAGGGGCACCCTCAGGCCATGTCTGACTCATGCTCCCATCTTGCTTCCAGGTCTGCAGCACTTTCAGCCTCTGTCCTGTCTGCATCCTATGGCTTGAGCCTAAACTTGCCTATTTTCCCTGGCTGCATGGAGCAGCAGAGCCAAGATACCTCCCTGGTCAGAAAGGATGCCTGGACTCAGACTTCCCCAGCCAGGAGAAGGATCAGGCCCACTCAAGTCCAGGGTGCAGGTAAGTCTGTCTACCACTGGGCTGGGGCCAGGGAAGCAGGCTTGTCCCTGCTACGGGCAGTGCTCAACGAGTGGGTGTGGAGAAGGAGGAGAAAGGGCTTTACAGTGCGCCAGGATCCAAACGATCCGCTGGCCTTTGCGTGAGTCATTTGCAGTTGACCACTAGTTTGTAGATTTCTGGGCTCTTCTCCAGTTCCTCCTCCCCGCTGTGGCCAGTTGGCCCTGTGGCATCTAGTTTCCGTACCTGCCTCGAGAAGGCAGATATGCTACCTCCGCTTGCCCTTGGCCGTGGGGCAGGCATGGAGGCCAAGGAAGAACAGGAGGGTGGTCCTTGGGGCAGACTGGTCTGGGCTCAACTTTCAGCTCTGCCAGCCCTGGACAAGTCACCTGTTCTCTCTGTGTGAGATTCAGATTTATCCCTGGTGAATTGGAGCTAATACTTCCTAGAGTTACCAGTAAAGATTAACCGAGAAGATGACTGTAAATTGCACAGCTCAGCCACTGGCACTAGGTACTCAGTACATAAAGCTTTTTTCTCCACTTTCTCTCTTGCATTCCCCAATCTTGTCTTGAGTGGCTCAATGAGTCACAAATATCCATTTGGCAACTTCCAACACTCCCCATTTTTAGATTTACACAAGACCAGCAGCTTTCCCTCCCTCAGCAGCAACAGTCAGAGGGTTTCAGAGCAGATGTCTTGTGAAAGTGCTCCCAGAGGCGTCCCATGAATGTTTGCCGACAAAGCAGCCCAGGGGCTGACCCTCCTTCCAGCTCTGCTTCCCCCCACCGCTGGGGAGATTGAAAGGGCCTATCCCTCCACGTGGGCTTCGCAGTGGTAAAGAATCCGCTTGCCAATGCAGGAGACGCGGGTTCGATCCCTAAGTCAGGAAGACCCTCTAGAGCAGGAAATGGCAACCCACTCCAGTATTCTGGCCTGGAAAAATCCCATAGACAGAGGAGCCTGGCAGGCTAGTTCTTGGGGTCCCAAAGTGTCGGATACTACTGAGCACATCCACACCCCTCCACGTACTATACCATGCATTTCTGTCCTCTCAGGTGAGGGGCCTGACCTCCTGCCCCATGGCACCAGGCTGCAGGTGGTGGGCCGTGAGGCTGGCTGGAGGAAGCTGCTCTGGTCTGGGCCTGCGCCAGGCTGCTCCCACCCAAGAGAAGGCTCAAGAAAGATGGAGGGGCCGGGGTCAGGGAAGGGGCCTGCAGCCTGGCTGCTGGTGGTGGTGGGGGCGGGGGTCAGGGGTCCAAGTGTGGAGAACATTTTTCCAACCCCAATTGCATTGGGCCAGGAGGGTGCTTCTCTGTCCTTGCTTAGGGAGGGTGATTACAGGTCTGAACTTCAAAGCATGTGAACCTGGCTAATTGCTGGCCTGAGGATGCCAGGCTTGGGCAAGTCAGGAGTCGCGGGCCTGATATAGGGCTGGTGTTTGCAGTGCAGACCGGGGCCGAGAGCCCCGATCCCCGATAGGGTCGCCCGTCCACGGCTCCACGGGGAGGATCGCGGTCCCTGGCCCGTCCCGGCCGCCGTGTTGCTGTTGCAAGAGGGCCCGCAGTCGCCTCCTTCCTTCGGCCTGCGGCGGCTCGGTCAGGTGGAAATCTCTCCATTCAAACCGGCGCGGGCCAATCAGAACCCGGCGCGCCGCCGGTTCAAACGTGCGCTGCAGCCGGCCTCCCGCCCGGCGGCTGAGACACTGGCGCGGGGGCGGGTGAACCTGCTGCCTCGGTTACTGGGAGCAACACAGACGCCTCGAGTTACAGGCGCCCTCGCCCTGGCCCGGCCGGAGCGGAGCCGCGGCCATGGAGCGCTCCCTGCACCGCGTCTCGCTCGGGAGCCGGCGCGCCCAGCCGGGCTTGTCCTTCTATCTCACCACCTTTGGTAAGTGCGCCGCTCGGGGTGGCCTCGCTCTGCCCGCGTGTCCGGAGAGGGCAGTCCCCTCGGGGATAGGTGAGGCCGGGAGCACCTGCCTCCCGTGGTCATCCAGGAGGGGCTCAGGGCACAGGCTCGGGCCGAGCAAGCCTCTGGACACCACCTGCTGCTTGTCCATTGGTGTCAAGGGTAGTTGCTGCTGGCTCTCTTGGCTGGAATAATCATGCCCAGTTAATACTTGAGAGATCTGGTCTCCTACCGCTGAGTTTCCCATTAGCAAGCTGCTCAGGGTTAAATCAAGGTCTTGTTACTACATCTTGAGATCTCTGTCCTCTTTCCTTTGACTCAGGGACAAGACAGGTGCCAGGTTAGGCCAGGGGGCCTTGGCTTCCTGCAGGGTCTCCTTGGGCGAGGCTGTGTGGTGGCTCCCGTGCACACCTGACCCTCAGCAGGGGTGGTAGGATTTTCTCCTCCAGGAGTTATCTGGCTCTTCGAAGGTTCACAGGGCTGCCCTGGGGGCTGGAGGTAGAAAAAAGTGGGCAGTAGGCACCTGCTTCCAAATCCCTAGATAGCACAGCTGAGTCCCCCCCAGCAACAGAGGGGCAGCAACCTTCCCAATGGTCTGGGCAAAACCAGCCTTCTGAGTCCCCAGAGTGAAGATAATTAGCCCTGATCTAGGATGCAGCCCTTCACAGCCCTTGTCTCCTCACTGGTTCTGCAACTCTGTGGGGAAAGATTTATATCTCCTCCCTGAAGACTTGAGATATAGAGATGAAGGTCTCCCAATGAGCTAGCTGGTAGGTACTTAAGCTCAAGCCTTCTGAGATGCCATGTCTATCACATTAAAAAAACCAAACTTTAAAAGAAATTTTTTAAACACCAAAAACATTTTGTATTGGGGTATAGCTGATTAACAGTGTTGTGGTAGTTTCAGGCTAACAGCAAGGGGATTCAGCCGTACATGTACATGTGCAAAACAACTTTGATACAATTTTCTTGCCTAAGTTACTGAAACGTAAGTGGACTTTGCCCACATTTCAAAGACAGAGCACCGAAGGAGTTACACCCTCCCCGGGGTTCTGGCTCTCCTATTCACAGGTTTACCTCTATCAGTACACTTGGGTGTTCACAACCTGCCTCTTCTCTAGGGGCAGAAGGACTGAAGGAAAAACAGTGGCTTGGCCCCTAGAAATGACCTGTGATCTGGCATCTTGGAATTCATGGGTCCAGTTGGTAGAGGGTAACAATAAGAGGAATTAACTTGCCACCGTTTGTTGCATGTTTATCTTTCACCATGACACATGCCAAGTGCTTTCCCTGTGTCATCTCATTTAATCCTCCCAACTGTTAGAGGCAATTCTCATGAACCCCATGGGGGTGTGGGACTGTACTGGACAAAGGAGGCTTCTGGGATGATCTGAGTTGGTGGGGCTGGGGTGGTCAGGAAAGAGTGGCAGAGAGCTGTGTTGGCAGAGGCCTTGGTACCTTAGCTGTGTCCTGATTAGAAAGTAAGATATACGTTTCATTGTTTTTCCTCCTTATTATCACGGTAAAATGTATTCATTGTTGAACACAGTGAGAAGAAGAAAGTGAAAATCCCCTGTAATCTGACTCCCCAGAGAAAACCATTGTTAACATGGTTTATATCCTTCCAGACTTATTTCTGTGTGTGTGTGCCTGCCTGACTTTAACAAAATTGAGATCCTATTGTATGTACAGCTTTGTAACTCATTTCATTTCCTTACTGGTGTGGTGGGACTATTTCCTTGTATCAGCCTGTATTCCTCTGTTGAAGTAATCTGCTTGCCAGATCAGGGAAACTGGGGAGAGTCCAGCCCAGCAAGGGGTGGACGCCCTGCCCAGCCACAGCCTCCGGGCTGGGTTGGGTGGGTATTGGGGAAGGTTGCTACGTGAACCCGTGACTGTGCCCTGAGTGTGCAACAGGTGGGCAGGAACCTGGTGGGGTGGAGAGCCTCTTGCTCCGTGTATGTAGCCTCCTCTCAGCTCTGTCCGAGGACTGACACTGGAAAAGTTTCCTCTGGTAAAAAAAAAGAAAAAAAGAAAAGTTTCCTCTGGTTTCCTGCATTAACTCTGTTTCCTTGACAAAATCAGCCCCCTTCCAGGCTGCTGGTTTTCTTGGTACACTGAATGACCTTTGCTTGTCTGCTTGTGAATGAGGAGTCTTATCAGCGGTTATCAAATGTAGCCAATAATTAGAAGCACCTGGAGAGCCTGTTAAACATACAGATTCCTAGGGACTTCCCTGGTGGTCCAGGGGCTAAGATTTCACGCTTCTATTGTGCCAGCCCCTGGTTCGATCGCTGGTCAGGGAACTAGATCTTACGTACTGCAATTAAAAAAACAAACAAATGTACTGCAATTAAAAAAACAAACAAAAATATCTCACAGGCTGCAACAAAGATCCTGAATGCTGCAACTAAGACCTGGTGCAGCCAAATAAATAAATAAATAGTAAAAAAACAAAAGCAAAAAACCCTACAGATTCCTAGAATCTTCTCCTGAAGATCCTGGTTTAATAGGTTTGGGGTAGAGTCAAGAAGTCACAGAAGTAGTATTTTGATGATCAGCCAGGTTTGGAAGCTATAGATTCAGAGTCAGTTTTGATAGCCACCACGGACTCCCTTAGAATGAAGGTCTTTGCTAAGTTTTCTTCGGTTCCCTGGCTTTCCCCAGCATGGCAGGTAGCTCCTGGCCTTCAGCTGTGGGCTTTGCCAGGGTGGAACCAGATGAAGCTACTGCCTAGCTGGTAGTTTTTCTGAGCACAAACAGAGGGAGGTAAATTCAGAATTCCTTTCAGGGAGAATACTGTATGGAATATGTTGTGGTTTATGGTTGTATGTGTTTGTGTGCATGACTACAAACCTTTGTCTCCCGCTAAGGGCACCTTCAAGTAATGTTAATTGGCCATACTTTAAGTTGCCTTGTAGGAGATGGCCTGGCTTCAGGGGAGAGGAGTAAGTAAGCTGGAGTTTGAACCTAACAACTCCAGAGGGATTTTTACTCATGAGAAATGGTATAATTTGAAGAAGCCATTACTGGTGCACATAAGTTTTTTTTTCCTTCAGGATTATATCTTTTAATTTTATTAGTATATTTGTTGG